GATAGTAGAAAATGAAATAGATAAATAAATTGGGATTTAGGCATGAAATACTTGGAGATTGGAGTCATTATTTACACTATATAATAAAAACAATCTTTACTACATTTTTGACAATTCTAACATCTAAATTATCAATTGATAAAAAATAAAAAAGCAACAAACAATGATAGCAGAAAATGCAAAGTGGATAAATATAACATATAGGCAAAACAGGTGTAAAAACAAGACAAATAAAAACTAATAGAGGAAAAGTTGAAAGAAATAATCAATATATATATAAAGTTGAAAGGAATAATCAATACATATATAAATACAAATAAATAGAATTATCATAATAAATGAAGTAGAAGAAACAATAACTGAGAATTATATTAAATTATGATATTACTTTTAAACAATATATACTTTTCTTAGTTAAACTTAAAATCTGTGATTTTTTTAGTTTTGAAACAAAAAAGCGTAATTTCTCCTGTAGGTAGCAATTACACCTGTGACGATGTGGTTGTTGGTTATTTAAATAGAAATTTAGACATAATCAATGAATACATTTTCCACAAAAATCCATCTACAAAAACTCTACAATCCTAATCATGACAAACAACTAGCGCAAAACAACCAGATTGCACCAGAAATATAACACATGCGGAAAAATATCCCTCCACCAAAAAAATAGTCCAATATCATTTTCATTTCTCGTTGATAAAGAACAGAGGCGATTCCGGAAATTTCGATTTTCAACATCTTTTTTCGTTATGTTTCTAGTTAGCCGAAAGGCCTACTAATATACAATAAACATTATTAAGCTTATTATCGTTTTATTATTTTTGTTATTACTTTTATCTCCCGAATTTCTTTCATCGGCTTACAGATGATAGAGAAATAAATCAATAAGAAAAAAAAAAAAAATAAATAACAATACCAACATTTCACTATATCTAAAAATAGACGGATAATAAAAATCGCCAGGTACATAAGCCATAGTTCACCAACTAATCAGAAAGCTTTCACAACCAGGATTTAAAGCCGCGAGCCAATGAGAATAAAGTAGAATTTTTAAAGCGGATCTACAGATGTGTATATAAACAGATGGAAAAACAACCAAAATCAGTCGATAAATTAATTTTGTCCAATGGTGCGGTCTTCGTAACATGGCCTGTTGGTGACAATTTTGGTGGGGAATGACTGAAAAACACTTTCCCTTCCCCAATTTATAGGCAGAAATACACAAATGCATGCTGAGATTTATTCCTAGCCAATAAAACAGGCCAGTTTTCGGTTTTATCTGACTCAGTTCCGGTCTGTCTTGAAGTCAGAACGCTACGTTCATTTATCCGAATTTGCTCTTGAGTGTCAACCCCAATTTTTAGCTTGTGAACATTTTGCCATTTTACGGTTGCCTTGCCTTATTACTGGTAATTTGCCTTACATATATTGTTTGCTTGCTTTATATTATTTTTTACCCTGTTCTTTTCTTTTCTTGTTATTTCTTATTGCAATTGTTTGTTGGACAGTTTTGTCATTTATTTTACATTTAATCATGGAGTATCACTTTACATACCGTGAGACAAAATACATTTGCATTGCTAGCTGGCACCATACACGGCTAAACCGTTCCTTGCTACATTGAAAACAAACATACCGTCCTTCACCACGTGGTCAAGTGGCGGCTACTACATTTGGATGCATATATACGTACGTATACATATGTATAATTACTTCCTCGCGGATTCTTTCTCTTTGTCTCTATCTCTCGCCAGGACTTTTACTCTTGAAACTTAAACTTTCACCTTGTCCTGATTTATTTTGTATTCATCAACTCTCTGTTCATTTTCTTTTATTCATCGCACAGAGCCAATATATAACCAAAACAAATATGGCTTATACATGGAGGTAACAGACATTGTCATAAGATAAACAACTCATCCATAACTGATAGTCTCCTAACCTCCATAAGTGCTAATCTCCGACGTACTTGACGCATAAAGTAAAAAAATGACATCATGTCCGATTGAAACTTAGCAGATACCCTACGGAAAACACCGTTCAATACAGAGAGTATCCATCAAACTACCTGCTTTTATTAAATCCGACGTGCAAGCGTAGTTTTCCATTATGAGGGCCTAATTCTGCAGTATAGACATCAAATGAGTTTCGCAAAAAATTTTGCCATATACTGGCGTGGCTTCCTTTAGATATAGTCGCAAAATTCTAACCAGCCATGGTTCAATTAAAGGGCTATGAAAACTAAAAGAAGCAGTAATAAGCTCGCACAAAAAAAAACTCTTAAATAATTTATCACATACAAGGACGCGACGACGGTTTTGAACTCTATCGGGATTGCGAAGTGAGGATTGAGCAGCTCCTGTCCAAATATAACAGCAGAACTCCGTTTTAGGCCCGATCTGGTTCTTGTAAATGCAGAGGATAGCACGAGGAGTCAGGTACTTACTGGAGCGGTTTCTGTCATTTTAATCGCAAAACTCAGGTCGTTTCACATACCGCGACCGTCAAGTTTTGTAACATGGATTTGAAATTAGCTTTCTGTAACATCGTGTATAAAACCGCTGGTCATACAATTGGTTCCTTGGAAGTTCAATCCCAGGTTAAGTAGCGTAGACAAAACCGACTAACTCCGAGAAGAGGCTGATGGGATATCATAAGGAAGAATAGACGATTACTAGTTCTCTCATATCCTCAAAAGGACAACGAACGTAACAGGTAAAGATATAAGAACACTATACTCCAGTGGATCTAGCGGAGAATGTTGAATATAATGGAAGTTTTCTAAAAGTGACCCAAACGACGCCGTATTAAAGACAATAGAGACAAGGAATGAGTCCGAATGAATCAATGTATAATAGGGCAGGTCCATTTTGGAACCGTGAAATTGCAATAAATTTGAAAGTTGGGGTTTGACAGGATTAACAATGACGCAAAATACTTTTTCCAAATCGTTACCGTTTTTTGAGGAAAAGAGTTTAAAGATTAAGTTTAGGTTCAAAATCGTAACGTTGGAATTTCATTCCAGTTATCAGTGAAAGCCTTATAGCACACCCTTATAAAATCTATAATTTACCGAGGCTTTACAAATTCTATATGGACAAGATGCATGGCACAAGCACATTATTATTAAATCTTTGTGCCATCAAATAAGACCATCATTTGCATCAAAGGAAAATTATACTGAACAATTTAGCCATATTATGATGTAATATATTATACAGTGCAATGGTTTTAGTGGGATTTTCAATGAACAATGCAAATTTAAAACACTTTGTTTTATAATGTGTGCCCAGCAATATTATAGTGTAAGATACACTTTTATCTATTCTTTGTTTTTATTAATTATGATCTAGTAAATGATTTAACAAATCTGATTCATTGAGTAGCCTTTTTTTTGTAATCCTTTACAATTTTTTTTTACACTGTTTTTAGTTTCCGAAAACAGTAAGAAATGTGTATTTTGCATGTTGTGATTCATAATTGGAATTCACGTTTGAATGTATTTTCCATTTAATGTATCTAATACATAAAATTATCAACTTTATATGGATTTATTCTTGAAATAGTAAAACTGAAGTCAGGTCAGTTTGTAAGAAAAATTAGTTATTTTTGTACATTTTTTTCAGACGATATTTAAAACTAAATGCTCAAAAATTGGCAAAAGTTATTGTTACGGTTTTTTGGGTATATACTAGATATATAACTAGTGAGCGAGTCAAAATGACTTATTTCCCTTTATAGTCGACCAATAGAAGGTTGACCAATCAGAAGCCGCACAACACTGTATCCGTCGTGTATAAAGGCGGCCATCTTTGTTTCTCCTACCAGAATGACCAGAGGCAACTTGTCCGGCGAACAGGACAGACGGAAGAACTACGCTCTGCTACCTTGCTGCGATATCCACTGCGAACCTGCACCACGCTTTCCTACTGTCTCCGAAATATTCACTGCCAAACTCTGGATTCTATACTCGAGGACGACCGTCATGAAAATGTCTAACAGTTATGAATCTAATTTTTGGTGTCAGTACTTATCACATCAAATTTCAGTCTTACACCGAGTGCAATAATGTTTTCTAAAAAAGTCAAAAAAATCAAGCTGCTCTAATATATAATGATAGCAACGTTTTGTCTTAGAAATTTAAACGGAAAAGAATGCCGAGGAGTACAGCGTCCAAAATTCTAAGATAAAAAAAAAAAACATCAAAGAAAACTGGTTCGAGAAATGTATAGTTGAAGTATTTTCATTGTTTGGATCTCAGGATTGCCACAGACACAGCAGCGTTGGTCAGACTGGAAAAAATATAGAAAATCAACATCAGTTTCCAGACCAAGTTCAGCTCTACAAATCACTGGTTGTATCCGTCCACTTTTACGGGCGTGAAACTTGGATACTCTTAGTTGAGGTAAGAAAAAGGATCCAGGCGTCTGAAAACAAATGCTTTAGAAAGCTCCTCTACATCTTCTACTGGGAACACAAAACCAATGACAATGTACGGAGCAAGGTCAAAATGACCTTGCTCCGTACATTGTCATTGGTTCTGTGGGCCGACTGGAATCTCTTCTCGCAACTATTAAACTTTGGAGCATGTCATGATTTGGCCACGTCACACGGTATAACAGCTACTGCAAGACCATCGTGCAAAGCACTGTTGAAGGTGGACAGAAGCGAGGACAGCAACGCAAAAGCTGGTCAGGCAACATCAAAGAGTGGACGGACATAATAATGCCGGAACTCCTGAGCGCCACCGCCAATAGATCATCCTAGAGAATATTGTTTGTTTTTTCGACCCTTAGGTCACTCCGATGATTGAGGCAGTCGAGATACTTATGATGATGATGACGACGACGATGATCTGAGTAACTACTATTAATTATTTTTTCGTTTACTTTCTCTTTTCAGATTCCATCTAATTACTATTTCCGAACTGGGAAAGGTGTGACAATTATCAGACTAATTAATTATCTGCCTTTTCTCAATTGCTGCCAAAGGTAACAATGAATGACGAAGAATTCGAAGCTGCTGGTCAGCAAATGCTCAAATATGTGATTGATTACCACAAGAATATCAGGGAACGTCGTGTCATGCCTGATGTGAAACCCGGTTTCATGCGCAAACTCCTTCCCGATCATGCCCCACACACGCCAGAAAAATGGGACCTGTTATTCAAGGACATCGAACGTGTCATTATGCCCGGGGTAAGTAGATATTTAAACGGTTTATCCTAGTCAGGCACAAGGATAGAGTAATCGTTCCCGTTAATGAAGATCAAACTCACTAACTGCGAGATTGGTTTATTAAGCAATACTTGATCCTAGTCAGGCAAGTCATATAAATATTGAATAAATATTATCCTAGTATGGCATAAGGCTGGAACTACAGCGCAGTTTTTATGAACAAATTAACTTTAGAAATTCCATATAAAAGTAGCTTACGAAACAACTCTAAAACAAGCATCCCATATAGGTAGCGCATATACTGTCAGCTCTCTCACAGTCCATATTTGACTCACTACGTCTACTGTTTCTTCCTTTTTTTATTAGTCTTAGTAGACTGTTGGTGAACGATATCTGTCGCTAGGATGTCCAGTTATGTTCAGTTTATCATCACTAGCAATAATTTGCAAGATTTGCTGATTAAGGTCCGTATTTAAAATGTACAGACAGATTTTTTTTTAATTATTTCACACCATGCAAGGCAATATAGCCACTAAGACGCAAGCGGTTACTGTGTGTTATAGCCACGAGAAAAATATACTATTAAGGAAAGAGAACAATAAAAGTACAATAAGACAGAAGATAACGATTGACATTGTATTTAAATTTTTGAAGATCAAAGTTGACTGGGAAGCAAGAAACCGGAAGAGAGTTCCACAAGCGAGAAGTGCAATAGAAAAAATCTGTTAGCATAGTACGTACATTAATATCTAGTCATTTCAATTGTAAAATGGTGAGACCTGGCCGCCAATCTAGTACTGCGCTTAAATTCATCAGAACAATTACCATTTATTTAAATTATTATCATTAGTATCATAATTATTATAAAACCCAGGTTGTGTGTGTATGTGTGTTCGTTTATATATTGGATCGGATTTCCTACAATTTTCAACCGAATTTCAATTTTCAACATATATTGGATCGATTTCCTACAATTTTCAACCGATTTCAACAAAATTTCATAGGACTACGTAAAATTACCTTGCGGTGGTTCTGACAGTGCCAAAAATTGGAAAAATACAATTGTTTTTGCACGAAAGCAATTTGAAAACACGATTAAGAGGCATCTCTGTTTCGAGAATGAAAGGGGGACAACTCATATCGAGTTATACTTATTATAAAACACAGGTTGTGTGTGTGTTCGTTTATATATGGGATCGGATTTCCTACATTTTTCAACCGATTTCAACAAAACTTCACTTTTTTTTGGCAGGTAGTGTTTCTTATTGTCTTGCACACTTTTTCTTTATTTTTACATTCAGAATGCTTAAAAATTCCATTTACAAGACAATTGTTTATAATAAAATGGAAAAATTCTATTCAATCGGTAGACTTATAACGATTGAAAACAATGTTTTTGTTTGAGTTTGGGTTTGACCAATTCGGAGGAAAAAAAAAAACTAATTAAGACATGTGTGTCCGTCAACCTTAAACAATAATCTTTGTCAATTTTATTTTTCAGATGGTCGATACTTGATCTATCTCTTACTGTTACATCCCCGGGAAACGCCGGGCTCTACTGCTAGTTATAAAATAAATTTTTTGTCATGCATTTCTTTTATAATCACATGCCGGGTCATAACCAATGATTGTAATTTGATTATTTGTTGTTCCCACTTAATTAAAATGTAGACAGCTATTAACAAACAAAAAAAAACATAAATAGTCAAAGCTCTTCACAGGTCTGTGCTTGTTAGAACTATTTTTTTTTATTTTCTAGAGAGATGATTCACCAGGTTTTTTGTTGATTGGTTCTTGAGTTTCTTTCTTTATCAGATCAAAGACTCCAAACAGAACAGGAACGATTTTATTTTTTCAGTGTCAAATTTTTTTGTTTATTTCCATCTTCAGGTTTTTGTATTTGCTTTGTTTTTCAAAAATATCTGTAGAAATGTTTTTGTTACATGGTACGCTCGTGTCAAACAGTGTGAAAACTATTCTTTTTTCTGTCTTTGATAATAATGTCTGGGCGATTTCCTTGTATTGTTCGATTTGTGTTGACAGAAAAAAACATCCAAAGGCTGATAATATCTGAAATCAACTACAGATTCAGGATGATGTTCATACCAGTTTGCTGCTGTTTTTATCACGTAGTGATGACAGATCTTCCAATGCAGATATTGACTAGCCTGTTTATTATTATTATTATTATTATTATTATTATTATATACTTTAATATCCTGATCAGTATAATAGAGAAAACACTTGAGGATAAGACGACTAAAAGAATCAGAGTACATGTTAAACACTGAAAACTTCCTCAGTAGACCTAGCATATAGATCAGTATAATTTGGAAGCCTCTGATTATGAAAGAAAGAACATTCAAAAGAAACTTCACTATCTGAGTTATGGCACTCATACAGTCGCACCACCCAGTACTTAAGCTTCCAGAACATCAACACTAGATTGTTCTAGAGAAACAAAGTCAAGTGTGTTATAGCCACGAGAAAAATATACTATTAAGGAAAGAGAACAATAAAAGTACAATAATTAAAGGGAACTAAAGCACCATTATCCAAAACATTTATCCAAAACAAAAAAATGCTCATTTATCAGTTGATAACTATTTCAACAATGTGCAATTAATGAGGCAGTAATCATATGTAAAGATGCTGCAATCATCATATATATTAATGTATATCAAGTAAAATATTTCAGATAAATCACTAAAACCGTTGTTACTAATATTGTTAAACTTATAACTACTTTCGTTCTGTTGATATCAGAGGACAAAATTGATTTAGTTAAAATTAATAACTTTAAGGTAAGTAATTCTATGCATGACGTTTTTATAAAATATTTGCAAAAAAATTAAGTGATTATTTTGTTGTCTTTTAGGTAACCCACTGGCGTCACCCACATTTCTACGCCTATTACGCACTGTCAACTTCTTACCCCGCGATCTTAGCTGATATTCTCTCAGATACAATTACTTGCAGCGGATTCAGCTGGGTAAGATTAATTTTCTTTCTTTCTTTCTTTCTTTCTTTCTTTCTTTCTTTCTTTCTTTCTTTAACTGAATATCTACTGAGGATGCAACTCGCTTCCAACAGCATCAACCATTTTTAGCTCCGAAAAAAAATGCCTTCTATTTTGTTACATTGACTCACGATGTTAGAGGTGGCTGTTGGTAGCATGGTAGAAGAAGTCAAAACCTCTTGGCAATAACCCATAATTTATTTTATCTTGTTACAAAAACGCAACCCAATAGCAGTCTGTCAAAATAATATCTGACATGAAAGGGAGTACTAAGTAGAGGCGTGACAGTGATATTCATCAACGCTTGCTGGACCTTTTACGACCTCGATGTAACTTGACAACCAATCGAAGGTGACACTAATGTACATAAATGAACAGAAATCCGCCTGTGGGGGTACTCAGTCGATAAGAAGAAGCCATTGAATGTGTGTGTGTGTGTATTGTGTGATCACAGCCTTCACAATATCTCATGTGAGTATTCTGTCAAAATCTCATATCATCCAGGTCTGTCAGCTCTCTCACAGTTCATATTTGACTCACTACATCTCCTGTTTCTCCCAAACAAAAATTATCATTGAAAGTTGGTAAATTTTTAGACTGTAGATGATATTAAAGAGAAAGTTGAAAGGCAGCTGATGGCGTTCCCGAAAAATTGTGTTGACGGTTTTGACAGGTGAATGGAACCAGATGTAATTTGCAAGACAGATCTCGTAATATATATATATATATATATATATATATAATAATGTGTAAATTTTCTTTTCATTTTTTGTTTGGAAGTAAAGTCTGATGATCCGCAGTCCTTTTAAAAGGGCTGTGGTGAAATAATTTATTACATGGAACCTTAAAGTGGTCTGTTTTTATTTAAATTATTTGCTCTGAATTTACACTGAGCTATCTGGATTTTATCCTCCTGAGGTTTACCCATACGGATTACCTAGTTTTTCATAAACTATATATATATATATATGATAGAAGTTATTAGGAGGATTTGATAATTATAATTAAATAATTCATCGAGTCTAGAAGAAACCTCAACAGAATGCAGAAAGCACTGGACGTTCGTTTCGTCTTATATTTGGGACTCATCAGCAGTGCGCATCCACTTACCGAGAATTGAAACCCTGACAGGTAGGTTATCATGCAAACGTCATACCAACTGTTCCAACGGGCCTCGGTGACGAAGAAGTATCAAATCAGACTCGATATAGCGCCGCTCACTCGCATATTCTGGGGATAGTAGTCGTGGCTCGTGGAATGGGGGCACAGTCCTATGGGCAAAGGAACTCGGATGAGTTCCACCACGGAATATGTGAGTGAGTGAGGAATATGTGAGTACTTATATCGTTGTCAAGAAAACATTCTGTCCAGAAAATTCAAATTTTGTTAAAAAACAAAAAACAAAAGAATAAACAAGAGAAAATATTGTTTTTTTTTGTTTCTAAATTGGTCGCCATTGTTGACTTTTGTGACTAATTTTTTTAAATTTTCACATACAGACCGAAAGTTTAGATACCATCATTTTGTTATTGATTCTTTTGTCTTTCTTTCTTCAAATAATAAATTCCCTGATTGGATTTCATATACTGGTACTTTTCTTTTCCAAAATGTTTGTGGAGTCAACAAGCTTACTAAACAGTTCAAATTTTCCTTTCTTTAACAATCAAAATTCAACAGACTATCAAAGTTATCATAATTTCAAGACGAATATATAAAGCGACTAAATAAATATTTTAAGTATATAAAGCGGCTCGGATTGAAGAATCGGAGAGCCGAGCTCGGATTCCAGTCGAATCCATTATATTCATTTACGTGTTAATACCCTTCTCACACTAGTTATATGACCGAGTTCTATAGCCTTTGATGGCAACTGGTCTACTGCAGAAAGAAATGGCAACTTACTACGGGAAAAATCTGCCTCGTCAGTCATGTATCGAAAGATACACGATCGCCTAAATTTGTATCACGCATGGCATTAAAGAAAAAAATATAAAGAGAAGAGCAAATCACTGTAAATTTTAATAGAAATTAAATTGAACAAATAATTAAGTTCTTACACTCATCTTCGTTTCATTGTCAGGCTTCCTGTCCATCTTGTACAGAATTAGAAGTTATTGTAATGGATTGGCTGGTTAAAGTGATGGATCTTCCTGAAGCTTTTCTATCGACGTCTCCAGGACATGGCGGTGGAGTGATTCAGGTGAGTCTTTTTATATGTTTATAGAGTGCAGTAATTTCTAAGCTAGAGCACTCGGGTTGTTTCCAGTCCGACATAAGATTATAATTTATTTCAGTCAAATTACTTATTTGTTCTGAATCATATCAAACTGATTACAAAAAAAAAAAAGATGAGAATAAAACTTATTGACTTATTTAAATTTTATTTATTCAATTCCTAAAACTGATTCTTTTTATTATACGATGCGGTCGAAGAACTGAAATGTTTGAAGACGGCTGATATATATTCATTAAGAAACTCCAAAGAACAAAAACGGTGGTTCAAAAGGACTGTCTTTCCCTTGACACCCCTATTATTTTAACTACCTTCACTCCTCAGCAATGTTTATTATTTTAAAAAGCGATTATTTTAATTTTAATAAAACCTAAACATATGAAAGCGAATTTATATATTTTCTTTGTTCTTGAGAGTTTACAACAAAAATAATAAACAATTTATTCATTAAATTGCTTATTTACACTATTTATTTATTAGATTGTTTATTGGAATGGTTGGCAAAACATCGGCTAATTGCCAATCAGTTTGAATTTTATAAAATAGTAAATAATAAAGATTTTATTATTGTTGGTACACATATTTTTGATAATTTAGTAAATGTTTAAATAAGTTTATAAATACAATTGTTTTCGTATTTATTTCTTTATAAATTGGTAAATAATAAATATTGAATTGCATTAGTTTGAATTTAGTCTTTAGAATATTGTAAATATAAAATTATTCTTGTAAGTAATCTGTAGAGGGTGCAAAGAAGTCCCTCAAACAAATAATAAAAAGAAAATACACTACAAATAAAGTAAAATAAACTTTTGTTTATTTTTGTAAAGAATTATTTTTTTTCCTTGTACAAAAATGAAATTGTCCGTAAAGCTGCGGAAGAAAAAGAGAAGGAAAGGAACTGGGAATGTGAGAGGGAAAGGTAGGACTATGTGTAGCGAGCGAGATGAGAGAAAGAGAGGGTGAAAGAATGTTCACTAATCTCATAAATAAATAGTGTTTAATATTTTTGTTGTAAATTCACAAGAACAAAAAAAAAAAAAAAACATATAAATTTATTTTCCTCATATGTTTAGGTTTTATTACAATTCTAATCGCCGCTTTTCAAAACAATAAACATTGACGAGAAGTGGAAGTCGTTAAAATAATCCTGACGTCAATGGAAAAACCGTCTTTTTTCCGGCAACGAAGGCTAAACATTGCGAAATATTTTAAAACCATATACATTTTGATTCAGTAAAGTAGGGCCCTCCACTTTTTCGGCAAAAATTTTCGATACCTAACTTTAAAAAAAATTTAAAAAAATGAAAAACATGCTTGAAGATTTCATTTTAGCTTTAATTGAAAGTTTAATCATTAAATTTATTATTTCCATTAAGTAAACAATTCTGGTGTATTTCAGATAGAAACTATATACATTGGAATGTCAAATTTAATTTTGAATTTTAAATTTTCTGAAAAACCCGCCATTTTCTTAATTTTAAGAAAATTTGTAAACAAACACAAATTTATTTAAATTTAAAAAAATATTTAAAAATTTCTTACACGTTATTTTAGTAAAATTAGAAAATTTAAAGTTAAAATAATCTGATATGAAACAAATAGTACTTTTTTTTTAGCTTAAAAAATTTGTATCCAAAACATTTCTTAACGATGTGTCTGAATTTTTTGCATGTCTTTTTTATCGAGTTCGCAATTGACGAGGCGATGACAGACAGCTATGGATGATCAAAATTGACAAATTTTTTTTAGTAGGCGAACGCGGTTTTTCGTTTTTTTATTAACTAGTACTTTTTTAAATTTAACATTTTTTATTCAGCAATTATGTACTATTTATTTTTTTTTTTACTTTCTTAATTAGACAATTGTTTAAATTTTTTTTTTAATCATCACATAATTGTTTAAACTTTTTTATTAATTACATAATTGTTTAAACTTTTTTATTAATTAGATAATTCTTTAAACTTTTTTATTAATTAGATAATTCTTTAAACTTTTTTATTAATTAGATAATTCTTTAAACTTTATTAATTAGATAACACGTTAACGATGTGAATCTGAACTGGACAGAGAAGAGAAATAACTGCGGTGCCAGACGACACAAATCACGTGACCTTTTTAAGGATTATGTCGCGTATACATTTCCATACATAGAAATTATGAACGTTTTTCAATAAAAATTTATTTTTAAAATTATTTTAAAAATATTTCTGTTTAAACGACTGTTATGTGCTTTTCAAAGTTCGATTCGTAAATTTACATTTACATTAAAGTTATCATTGCATTACGCGCACTAAAGAAATAAAGAATTTTAAACGATTTTTGAAGTATTAAGACGTTAATGAAAAAAATTTTTAAAATGTGGAAAAAATTTGAAAAAAAAACATTATTCAACGAAAAATTTTTATTTCTTCACAAAATAATGTCCTTAGTATAACGTATCTACAAAGACAGGTGAAAGCTTTTCTAATTAATTAAATGTCATGCATTTTTACATTTTTTTTTTACAATTCAAATCTGATTTTCTATAATTCAGTCATGTTTAAAAAACAAAAAAAAAAAAAAAAACAAAAAAACTGGTGATTTACTTTCTACAAAGATTCCTGTTTATAACTAATAAAAAAAATCCCGCGAGCTAAGATTTAATTTCTCGAAATTTCATGAAAATATGTAAGTGGGTGGAAACATGTTAAAAAAAAAAATCTCTTTTTAACAAGATTTTCTGAAAAAAAATTTTAAAAATAATTTCATTCATTTCTGAATAAGTCCTGAAAGTTTCATTAAAATCCAACAATTATTTGATTTTTGCAAGAATTTCCTAATTAACGTGTGTTTTCCTCGGGAAAAGCGCAAAATAAAACAAACCTTTTTTTTAGTTTTCTCGCACTGTCGTAAAAAAAACATAATTTTTAACCAAAATTTTCTACGTGCTAGAAAGGAGTAAAAAATTTCAAAAAATATTTAAAAAATACTTTGGTCTTTCCTCTTCATAACAACATAAACATAATTTAAACAAAACTTTGTTTTCGTTGATTTATGAGTCTTTTTTAATCGTGATATGCCGCTTTTTTACGTGACCTAATGGATGTACCTACAGTAAAGGAAGGTTTTGATAAACAATTTATTTGCGTACTAAATAAACGAAGGTATTTCTAAATTAAAACTTATGTAACATTTAGCATTAGAAAAATAGAGAAGAAATACGCTAAAAGACACCGATATTTTAGCTAACGTCATTCAATAATGTTTTTTTAATAAACAGTGAAAAAATCAATGATATTTTGTTCAATAAATAAGGGTTTAAAATTATTATTATTAAATTAATTATTCACTTTATATCCGCCTGAACTTTGACATTTTATTATTAATTAATTATTTTTTTTTTTCTTCTCAATAGGAGTAGATAGGTTCGCCAATTGTTCGGTAGACAATCCTATCTGATCTTTTGAACATAAATCAAGGTTTATCCCGTGTTTTCTGTTTAGGACTGGGTGTGTAGTGATAGAAAAATAATAAAGTTCACTATTTAAAAAATGATAGAATAGTTTGGAAATCATTTTGTTTTGCCATAAAGAAATAAAAACAAAAAGATAAGAAAAAGAAAATAAATAAATAAAGAGGTCAAAAGGTTATCATTGCTAAATATAGGTGAAGAAAAGGGGACGGTCGAATGAATCCTGTGAAGCAATTAGAAATCAAGAGCCAATTCTGGAATTAATTTCTTTTGTCTCAAAAAAGTGATAAACACAGAGACGAGCAGGCAAAGAAACTAGAGAGAGTCGATGAAATAATTTCGTCCGTTTTCCCATGCCCTAAATTTTGAACACTTAAAAATCTCTCAGAGATCCGAAAGGGTTACTACTACCAACGAAATACATACATAACTACATACACTTTTACAAGGACTCTCTCCTCTCTCTCTCTCTCTCTCTCTCTTTATTATATGCTAAAAGATTTTAGATGTTCAACACGAAAACTTTCTTATATGAACTCTTTATTGTATATTTTATTTTAATCTTATCAGTACATGCAAAACATATCTTAGTACTAATTATCTTTTCATGCATTTTAAAAGGCCAAAAATCGGTCTATATTTGGATTAAGGACGTTATCCGAAGATAACGACCTGTAAACTAAACACATAACCCACCCACATAAACACCACAGGTTTCCGGGTCCTTCTAAAGCCTACTTCAACTATATTCTTTTAATGTTTGAAATTTTATTTACTAATTATTTTCTTCTTCTCAACAGTAGTAGGTTCGCCTATCGTTCGGTTCACACTCCTCCCCTGTCGTTTGAACAGGTTTATCCTTTGTTCCCTGTTTATGATTGAAAAACCTTTAAAAGAAACCGGAAATTCATTCTCTTTCACTGCCAGTAGCCCCTAGCGTCTTAGTGGCATTATTGTCTTGCTTACGTTTAATTTATTAAAAAAAAACAAAAAAACAAAAACACAAAAAAAAAAAAACACAAGGTAAACTTCTTTTTTATAAAAACATTAAAAGTTTATAAACACTACACCATTCAATTATTTTTAAATAAAAAGTGGCAAAAAATTAAGAGGCAATTCTTGTTTTAAAATTACGAACATGTTTCGTACATGAAAGACCATGGGTTTTCTTTCCTTACACAAACACATTGCTACATTTTATCCGTTCGAAGAATATTAAGCGTAAATGTTAAATGAAAAATTATTGAATTAAATTGGAAAAAAAATATTTTAATACACTCGAATTCAAGATGTGTAAAAAAATAATGTTCGTTGTGATTAAATTAGAATGCAAAGTCAAGTGAAATATTGTATTTTTTATATTGCTGCAGCAGTAAGAGTTGTAGTAGTAACTTACATTTTAGTACTGTTTTATTAAAAAAAATAACGTTAAACTTGTTGCGGGCCGTTGTACGCATTTCCCAACTTATTGCGGGCGTTAGTTACGTCAGTGTTTGAGTTGAGAAATAAACAC